GTATTAAGGGTTTTGAGATTCGATAGAAACTGTTCAAACTCCGTAGAGGAAAGCTCGTCGAATTCCAGAGCGTGACTATAAAGTGTGGCCATGTATACCTCTTCTGGCGAGGACTGGGCCAACCTCATCAGTCCATCCACTATCTCCTCATGAGTTAGACCCCGCAACAATTCATCGACTTTTTCTTTTTTTATTAGTTTCATTTCCCTGACCATCCTGACTTTCTCGTCTCTCTGTTCCTCCTCCTCCACGGCTTTGGAAAAGTTCATCACATTTTCGGCCAATGCCTTCAAATCTTTATTTCCCTTCTTCAAATCATGCCACGGTAACCACATATCCCCGTCGCTGCCCATTTTACTTGTTTGACTCACGACAACAATTCCAATTCCTCTCTCCTTCGCCTGCCTTATCAGGTCTCGAAAATCCGAATCATCCGAAATCAAAAACAGCCAATCACACGGAACGGTGTCTTGGTATTGATTCCATGCCCTCTTTAAAGCCAGATCTGCAGCTTGAGGTTCGTTTTCAACACGGTTGACGTCCACACCAGCTCTTCTTAGCTCATCTTCTAATTCAAATTTTGGTTCGTGATTTTTTACTTCCTTGTAGGCCTTTTGATATCCCTCAATCTTATTTCGATGGGTTTTTTCCCAAGCCTGCCGTTGACGATCTCTGGTCAAAGAATGAAAGAGAGTCATCGTTTCCTGGTACCAAACCTCATGTTCCTTGAAGTGAGTATCCAAATCCTGATGGAATTTATACTGGCGATCGCAAAAGCCGCAGTTGAAATGTTCGGATGGTACAAGCACACGCTGATGTTCAAGTAGAAAACGTGTTTTGACAGAATCAGGAACCCAAGAGCAAGTGTGACCATTACCGAAGGCTGAAATTCTGACGACTTCGCCGAATAGACCAGCAAAATCTTTTAGTAGTATTGCTACATCAAAAGGTGGATCTTCTGGTACTTTATTATCGAGATCCCATAGAATCATGACTCTGTCTTGTTTCTTGCTCAAAACCTTCCTGATTTTCAACTTGAATTTGTTTTTCTGGGGATGAGATTTCATGGATCTAAAATTGGATTCAATTTTCTCCTTCCTCTTCTTCTTCGTCTTGCATTCATGGTCTTGGATTATATTCCGTTTCGCTCTCGCCAAGTCCTGGTTAAGGTCTTCGATCATAGCCTGTTTCTCTATCGCAAATTCCTCTTCAAGCTCTTTGATCATAGTCTGTTTCTCTATCGCAAAGTTTTCATCAAGTTCTTTGATCATGGTCTGTTTCTCTATCGCAAAATCATCTGTTAGTCGCCTCAACTTCTTTGCCAACTTTGAAACTCCCTTCAAAAAGGGTTGCGGTGGGTGGAGATCGGGTGGTAAAGACGGGGTAGATGCTGTGAAGAAATCCAAGTCCACCCGCCGTTTTGATCTTTTGAAGTTGGTGACATTGCGATTCCAAAATCCAGGATACAAGAAAGTAAGGAATGGTTTCTTGAAGGAAAATAATGAGGCGAGAATTGTATTTGTCGTCGAACTGGCTCGAGGGATCATATTTTATTCCATGATATTGAGATTTTCGGTTTAATTTCGTGTCATGTGGATCATTCAGTCGTGACTGAAGAACCTCGTGGAGGTCGTGGAGGAGAGAGTGTGTGGTTGGCTCGGAGGGGGCGATGGAAGGGGGGTGGGAAACAGACATGTTTTAATTTTTGTTACCCGAAAATTGGTGCGGCCGCTAGATCCTCATGACTGGCACGTAACGTGATTGATTTAAACTGGTACCCCTTCTTGCTCTTCTATCTTGCTCTTCTGTTTTAAGACAGAAACAAACAGATTGAGGATTACTTACATCCTCCAATGCCCTCGATGGGTGATGGGTTATATGTCAAGAATCACAAACCGGTATTACTAGACTTTGCAATTCCCAGATCGAGTGATCCAGGCTTGAGCACGAGGACGTCAACGCATTGTACATACAGTATATGCAGCCAGGGGCTCGATAGTCTCAGGGCTTGACGACGTGTGTAATGAGGTATAACGTTATATGAACCAGTAGCTAAGATATGCTAATAGAATATCTTTGATATCAATGATATATATACCACATTCTCATACCGGTACATCAAGACATTTTCTCCATATGGCGAGTTTTAAATAACTCTATATTCTTTGAAGGAAGTCTCATGCGCGTTAATACCGGTATTGTTGTCACTCAAATCAAGCATTTCCCTTTACTTCCGTTCTATCTCAAATTTTTACAAAAGCTTTGCAGCGGACGGCCTCAAATCTATATATGAATGCGGTATTGTACTCGAGTATACGAGTAGATAAACGAAGCTTGGTAATTCTTACCCCAAATAGCGGTTCATCAACGAGTTGCAGTACTGATAGAAGTTTAAAGTTAGATACGTAACAAACAATCTTCTTCTTCTCCTTACAACCACCACAGAACATCGAACCAGGGTATTCCATATCCCAATCCCATTCCCATCTCAATCACGAAAATATCACTGCAATACAAATTCTTCCCCAGAAAGTCAGCTTCCCAAGCTATCATCTCTTCCCATCTTTCCTAAACCTTCATCCTCCTATGCTTGTAGTATAGGTAACCACCTAATCTAATCATCCTCTTCAAAAGACTCAACACTCAACCTCCACAATTCCTCAGGATCCTTACATTGTCTCTCCATCATCCCATCTACATTTTCTTTTCCTCTCAAATTAATCTTTGGTGGCTCGAGCGTTCCGTCGGCTGTACATAAAATGGTCTAGAATTTCCAAGGGCAGAATTAGTTGTGGACAGGTAACTTTATTTCTCATCTCATCTCATCTCATCTCAATTCATATAATCCCATGTGCTAGCACTCATTATCTGAGTTGTAGAATACAATACTTCCATGTATTATGCATACAAGACTTCGCATATACAAGACAAGACCAGATTACAAAAAAACACAAAAATACACAGAAATACAACATACCTGTCTCAAATAATCAAAACAATGCAACCAATGCAACGGATCCCCATGTTCCATATGACCAAAATCATGACCAGCTCCTCTCTTCTCCTTCTCCTTCCCTCTCTTCCCCATATCCATTCCCTCGCCCTCCACCTCCCCCCTAAGCTCCCCCATCTCCCTAAACAACTCCTGTACACCCCCCCTCATAATCCCCAAACAATGCAACGAATGAAACATCGTAATACCATATTTAAGTTTCCTCATTTGCTTATTTCCCTCTTCATCCCCATTTTCCCCCTTATCCCCAGCCCCCTCCTCCTCCCCACCAATCCTCCTCAAAAACCCCCCATTCTCTGGAAGTAAATCATCCCACAGCCCATCATGCACGCGCGATAAATTCTCATAAGCAGGATGTTCGGAAAAAAGCACGCTAGTGGTGCTAGGAGCGAGTAGATTCAGAGATTCTGGTAAGGGCGAAGAAGAAGAAGAAGGTTGTGAATGCGAATGTGAATAGGAATCAGAAGGAGAAAGTAATGAGCGAAAAGATTGGAGAAAATATATAAGTGTTGAGATTATTATGATGGTGATGAAGAGAAAGGAGAGGAAAATAGATGAGGAATATTGTTTATTAGAACGTCCTGTTAACATTTTTCCAGCTTCAGCTCAGCTCAGCTCAACTCAGATCCGTTTTCCTAAATATGATTCTTGATGTTGTAGTTTTCTCGCGGTTCGATTGTAAGATATATATGGATGATGAAGACTTGTTTATTAACTGTAGGTAGTTTATATGTATACTCGAAATCAAATCTTCACAGATATGATATACCTAGCTAGATATACCGGTACTTAACCAGATAATGCAATCCCACCTTCCACCTTCCTATACAACACTAGTTCCCCAAAGCCAAGAGATGTAGGGCTTGGCACCTTCCCCTTTGCGGGGAAACCGGGTAAAGTACCTAGGTAGGTAATTCGTTTATTTACTTGATTGGAGATGATTCAATTATGGGAAATCTTTTCTTAGTGGTGGGGTAGGGGATTCTTTCTTAAGTGGCGATTAGGGATAATGAGGCTGTATCAATGTATATATATTTCTAACAATTGAAAAGTGTTTTTTACTCTTTCTCTACTGTGCCTTGTTGGAATAGATTGCTTTGAGTTGCGATCTACTGAACACCTGAAAACTAGAGATGTTATCTCGACACTTTTAATATTTCGTGAAAGGGTGAAAAATGAGTGAAAGTTGATATGATGGATAGCTTTGACCAGGAGATCACCATGATTTGTGAGGACAGGTCGAATGAATATACAAAACTAGTAGAATTGATATACAGAGTGGAAAGTATATACATGAGGTAAGTCTAATCCAACGCCTTTCTCCCGAAACACCAACCCAATCTATGCTTTCAAATAATATACAACAAAGACCCTCAGTATTATGATATTTTCGCAGCAATTGGTGCACTCCGGTTTGCAACATGCTTCAACCGGGCGCTTTGTGGACTATGGGCTGTCAACCTTTTTCTCAGAATAGCCATCGTCCTCTTTGGTACCCAGACTCTACTTCCAAGTACCACTACACCTGTTAATAAGGCCAGACTTCCAGCTTGATGGGCAGAGGCAAGCGGAGTGGGTACTAGATATATCAAAGTACTAATACCCAAAGTGACCTGTACCATCAAGAGGTGTACTACACCCAACATACCCTTTGCTCCAGTCTTTGGGAGAGCAGCTCTGATTCGAGGGTTAAAACGTGAATATGCCCAGAGAGCAAGAATGGCGGTGAAAGATGTGGTAGCTAGTATACGATGGTCGAGTTGAACTGTCGAGGGATTCTCGAGCATATTACGCCACCATAAATCACTGTGATCCGGTCGTCGAGAGTAAAATTCCGAAAACAATTCGGATTTGGGTGGTGTGAGCCCAACACCCATTCGAGGAAATTGGTTGTAAATAAGACCTGCATCGAGACCTGCTACTAATCCACCGGACATAGCTGTTGTAAAGACTAGAAGAGCGAGGCCGGCAACCGATTTACGGAATACGGATAAAGAAGGTGAAGATAGGCGAAGAAGATGTGCATGCGACCGAGCAGGTGCATTATTGAATAATAAACGGCGATCGCGAAGAATCGAAAGTCCATTCCAGAGCATTGCGGTGTAACATATAAACGCAGCGCCAAGATGTGTGGTAAGCCTATATTGAGAAACGCGGGGATGAGAGCCAGGGGCAAAAAGATCGTCCTTCAATCCTGATTTGACCATCCACCATCCAATAGCTCCCTGAAAGCCAATGAGTCCTGATATTCCAAGTAGACGAAGAGCCATGGGCTTTGAGACTTTACGGCGGGCGACAAAATAAACAGCTGGGACAACGAAGGAAAGTCCAATGAAGCGTCCCCACAATCGATGAAACCATTCCATAAAATATATCTTTTTGAATTCTTCCATTGTCATATGTGCATTTAGAAGCTTAAACTCTGGTGAGGCGCGATACAGGTTAAATTCGCTGTCCCAATCTGCACCGGAAAGAGGTGGGAGAGATCCGGTAACAGGTTTCCATTCTGTGATACTAAGACTTGAAGGAAGTTAGTAAAAAGTTCCTGTAAAAAGCAATTGGCAGACCGAGAGAATGAAATGTAGAAGGGAGAAGGGTCCTCAATCAAATTACACATACCCAGACTCTGTCAATCGTGTGAGACCTCCAAATACGACAATTCCAAATACACTGGCAGCACTTCCCAATAACCAATAACCCACTGATTTCGAACTTGTTTCTGGAAATCTGCTGGGTGATGATGATTTATTTATGATTTGACTTGATTCACTTAATGAATCTGCCAGTACACTCAGTGGCGAGACTCCATTCCCAGATTCGGTGATCGTAGCAGTATTGCTGTTGAATCGTATATTGCGAGTTAATATGGATTTGGCAGGGAATTTGGTTGCTTGTAATATTGATCGAGGTTGTTTTAAACATTGGTGACATATAAAGAAGTCCCTAGATAATCTAGGAACTGCCTTGCGTAGTCCTGGTAATATTGAGGCCATTGATGGAGAATTTGAAGCAAAGAAAACCAAGTGATGGAAGTAATGGGAGAAGAAAGTTGCATGACAAGGTGGGATATAACTCATTATCTCAGCAATCGGGCGAGAATCCCGGAAACAGGCGAAACGTTTTTCCATCGCAAAGGAGTTAAAACAACCAAAATAAATGGATCGACAACACAACAAGGGTTCTACTGCTTATCCTCCCAGATGGGTCAGCAAATTCACAATCCCGAGTACGATAACGACAACGACAACGACAACAGCTACGACTACGACGACTCCATTTTAAAATGAAGCTCATGTCATGTCTACACAATTAACATAATTTCAATACAAGTACCTCGATGAAGTAATATCCGTATGTATATCTTTATGATATCTATCTCAATGATATTATACTCGAGTACAGTTCTCACTTCATTCTTTAGGCATGCAGCAATAGTTCTCTCCCTTTTTACCTAATATCTTAATTAATACCATGTTTTCAGCTCGTCATACCGATAATCCTAATCCTTTTCGTCCCGCGCTTCAATATCTTACCAACACTGCGAACTTGAACCTACCACGAACACGTTCAAGTCGTCGAAGAAGTCATTCAACTACTAGTTTGGACTCGGATGGGGAAAACAGTGACAAGATGTCTCGAAATGCAACGACCTCGTCTGAACTTCATCCATCCATACCTCTCATAAATATATCTCGAAGTCCATCCCCTTATCGTCCCAGAGCTGGTTCGGGACCTACATCAGAAAGCGATGAAGAATACGATAGTTGGGGTACATCATCTAGGCGACCTTTCCTTTCTGGAGAGGAACCGAAATATACAGGCTGGCGATGGTTACTTTACAGTGGAGGACTAGGCCAATTTCTTTTCAACACTACAAGAGGCTGGCAGTTCTACATAGGAGTTCTGGTTCTGTGGCTTGGAGGTTGCGGCATAGGTCTTACTGTCATGAATAGGATAATTCTCTGGAGTGGGTACCTTCAAGCAAATTATACTTCGCATACTAAGCTTATGATCTTAATAGCCGGCGTGTATAAGTTTCCCTGGCCTATGACCACTACCTTTATCGAATTGTTGATGACACACGGGTTTATATGGCTCTCGGCGGTCCTCACGAGATTGGCGAGTCCAGTGTGTATCACTGCAGGTGTTTCGAGTGCGGTTGCGCCAAGTACGCCTCTACAGAATTCGAACTCACCTGGGTTTAGAGGGGAGGGAAAGAAACAAGGGATATATTCGACACTGGGAAGACTGTCATCTGCAAGCTCGGGTGGTATAGCTGGTGGTGGGTTCTTCGAATTCGACATGGCTGTTGCTCGACAGGTTTTACCCCTAGCCATCGTTTTCGTGGTGAAAGTAATCTTGAGTAATATCTCTTTTGCATACGCTCAATTGCCAATATATGTTCTGGCTAGAATTGGTATTGTGCCTTTTTCCCTGCTTTTCACGGCACTTCTTGGACAACAACAGCATTCTGCATCCACTATATCATCAGCTTTGATCGCCACTCTTTTCCTATTGCTCGGCACGATGAAAGGGGGCATTCGTGCTCCTTGGGAAAGTATCGTTGCCGGAGTCTTTTCATCCATTTTTGTCGCGTTATACCCAGTTCAAATTCAGCGTACATATAAAGCACTCGTCGGTCAACTTATTCCTCAGGGCGATCTCATAGGTGGTTTTACTCCCAGCAACAGCCCTTCCGATTTCTCTGGTTCTCGCGAAGAAACACGAGCGTATTGGCGGCTGCTCCACTACACATCCCTTCTCTCCATCCTCATCTTCATCCCAATTCTTCTCTTATCTGGTGAACTGGGGAATGTCTATCGTAATTGTTATTTCATGGATGTATTCTTTCACTGGTTGATGGTTCTTTGCGGAGGTACGGGATCATGGGCAGTGTTTTGGTGCACAATTGCATTGACCAGGGCTACTAGTCCACTAACCACGAGCTTCTTGTTTGTCCCGAGAGCGGCATTCTTGTTACCTATCATGGCGGGCTTCAAGATGCCAGCTTATAGTTGGATTGGATTTGCCATGTGTTGGGCTAGTTGTGCTTGGTTTTTGATGGGTCGCATGAGAGAGGGTAGAGCAATTGAAAGATTGAGGTGATTGATGGAAGTCTAAAGTGAGAATAGCATGAGCATGATTTGTTGTATAACTTGTTATATATTGGAATTGGATAGTAGAAGGTGTACATTAAAGAGAAATATATGAGGATTCTTTCCAGGGCCTTGTGCCTCTCCAAACTTCTGATTCGATCTTTACAAAAAGTCTCAAGGAGGATACTTTCCTGATGAGGAATGCATTGCCCTTCAAGCCTGAGCCGTGGCATTCACAAATGCGTGTGCGGTAGCATTCGCGGTACCATTAGCCGCTCCTAGCACAACCTCTGCAACACCTTCACATGCCACTCGCCAATGACGTGTAAAAGTGTCACCATACACCGTCAACATCACAAGTACGAAAAACGGCATCAAGTAACTCTTAATTTGACAAAGCCTCAATCGATCCAACACGTTCATCAACATCGAATCGGGAATATCCTCGACAGGACAGTTTCGGATATCAATCAATGCCGTGCTAGAACTCTTCTGCGAAAGATCCCCCACAATGTATAGCTCCCACAAAAATAAAAGAACCAAAGAATCATATACATGAGCCATGAAGCCATACTCGCACCAGGATTCGAGACCGCCGTCTTTGAATGAGGCGCCGTAGTAGACGCATATGCCGAGAAGAAAACCAGCGAGCATGCCGTGGTATACTCTAAGGAAACTCGAACTTTTTTGATGATGTTTGATGCCGGCTCGGAGGCTTTCGTAGCGTCTCGCATCGTCTTCTTCGGCGGCTGGATTCAATGGATCTAAGGAATCTATGTGGGCGGTGGCTTGCGTCTCGGTTTCAATTTCGTGATTTGCTTCCGGATCGGCATCTGCATCGGCATCTGCATCAGCACCAACGTCGTGGTCATCTTCAGTCAACTTAGTCCTTTCATTGATCTCGGACACAGACTGGGATCCACAGGTAGAATGAGCCGGGCTGCGAATCTTCTCGAATTTCACATTTTCCTTGTCTTTATTCTCCAGTCTCATCTTTTTCGCTTCTCCCTCGGAGAATGATGGATGGGGACCGTGGCTTCGTGAGCGCTTGGATGTTGATGGAGCGTGGCTTTCTTGCTCCCTGTCGCCGTCTGAATTGGAAGATGAGGAGGTCATGGCTTGGTAATCATTAATGATGTGATGTGATGGAATACGTTATGGAGTTCCATCCATTCTTGGGGGCTTGAGTATGAATGAAAAGAAGGTACTTACGAGTATATCGAGACCGACTGCAACGGTGAATCGTCATCTTGGCTGATGGCTTTTCGAATTGGATGGATTTGGTATAAAGCTTTTCTCCTTCTCGTTCTCGTTCCAGGAGTTGGATGCAATAATGAAAAGGTGATTAGGGAAATAGAAAGGAATTCACGGAACTTATAGAAAGAAGTTCATATATCTGTCCTTTGGTAATGGTCGCGTCATTACTTACCACTAAGTCTACACTAATACACTTAGTGATTGATAGTTCATAGATGGTGGTCAGCAGATGAGTATAGTCTGGTCTACCTAGTGGGTATACAATTGGCATTGGCAGAGTGCACTACTGGTACTAGTATTGGTATTGGTGCTGGCAACTAATTATATTAAGGTTTCCTGGTACGAATTGGTGATTGGTGATTGGTGAGATGGAGGTCCACTACGAGAAAGCTGGCACTAGTGGTACTGGTACTGGTAATTATCTCAACCCACTTCCTTGAATTCTGCAGGAGTGGAAAATAATGGTTTGCTTGAAGAATCATATCATCCAATTCGCATTCATTCATTCATTTATTCTACAATACAATGCCATCCCATCGCATCACATATTATACCATACCATACCACATCTCCCCTTTCCACACAACCCACAAACCCTTCTATCTACCTCCTCTTCCCCACAAACACAACCTCAACCTCCCTCGTGATCCAGGCTAGACTAGACCTGGAGTCTGTACCTTGGCACGAAACTAATCCAAGCTAAACTAAACTAGACTAAACAAGACTACGAATAACACCCAACCCAAACTGGACAAGCGCAGCGCAGTGCGGAATTCCTAGCTTAATTTCCTAAGCTAATCTAACGGTCTCTTGAAGAAGTTAAGTCAAGTCAACTTAAGCTATAAACAAGGAACTAAGGAAGTAAGGAAGTAAGGAACTAAGAGATCTACTGATGGATCATGGATCATGGGTATGTATGTACCGGTACCGGTACCGGCATTGGGGATGGGATGGGATGGGATGGAATAGAATAGAATGAGTAGAATGGCGTTTTTTTGGTGGGTTTCATGCAGGTACAGGTACCCTGCTTGTCGCTTGTCGCTTGTCGCTTGTTGATCGATGTATTGTATTGAAATTTGCTGTTGTAAATGGATGGAGTTATAGATGGAGTAGATGGAGTTTTAGTTGGAGTGGGTGGGGTTTATTGGGAAGGAAAGGTAATGATCTAGATATGGATGTGGGATTGGGGTTGGGGAGGAACAGATGGGGGTAGTGGAAGAGGAAGAGGAAGAGGAAGAGAGGGGGGAATGGAAGAGGTTGGATATTAAATGTGGTTTTCTTTGGCTGGTCATTATGTGTTGTATTGTATTGTATTGTATTGTATTGTGGTTATTGTTCGAGTTGAAATTGAAGAGGGAGTTGGGGGAGGAGCGGGTTTAATGAAGTGAAGTGACATAATATGATTTTTGTTTGTTTTTGTCGAAGGGAAAGGGGAAGAGGAGTAAGGTATGGTATCTTAAATTGTAGGTCTTGTTTTTTTATTCCTTTTTGTGTTGGTTACAGTATATTATTTGGGATCGGATGGGATGGGAAGATAAAAATACTCAGGATAGGTACCTATTATATGAGAAGAAAAGAATGGGAAAGGGGATAATATTCTTTAGCTAAGTCTAGGGGGCATAATCATTGTTCTACATACTCTTTGTGATATAATTCAAAGATGCATGGAACAACATCAGTATTAGTATCTCATTCAACATTCATTCTGCGAAATACACCTGTATCGCTAAACTAAACTGAAATGAACTGAATAAGTCAAGTTCATTTATTATTTGTCCCAACTCCTGAGATATGGTTGAATATAATTATGAATATTATTATCTTCGCAAGATACATCAAACATGTTGTTTTTTTCGCGGACTATGCATGGTGTAAGTAACCTTAGTTCAATGCAATTTGCATCATGGAATCCACACACACACAGTCGATAATGATAGTCCGTATAAACAATATTCGATCAATTACAAAGTCACGACATAGCTGTCTACTCTTGGGCATATTTGATCCCTTATTACTCATTCCTCGCTACTCACTACTAAATCTATTATATCAAGCAGTTCCGCCGGAGGTGAATGAGTGATTCGAACGAAATCGTCGCCAAAAGTAGTTGTATTCACATTAAATGTTAAAAAATAGTGGGAATTAACTGATAAATGTCGCTTCGAGTAAGAGACTCATCGGGAATCTGTTTCGCAGAACTTAGGTTTCGAGCTCGAGGCATCTGTCGTGGTGAAGTGACTCTAAGATATCTGCTTTTTGAAGGAGCAGTGATGACTCGGTGCAGGTAATTTGAACAAACTGATATCTACAGTACGACATCTATTAGTCTGCTATCGATTCCATATGGCCTTGGGAATCAGCTTATTGGATAGTCACCTCCAATACAGCTCTAGGCTCTTCAAATCCCCCTCCCCCCCATATCATTTTATCTAGATAATTGACTCCAAAAACCTTATTTCCAGACATTATTGATATGACGAAAATTCAATTCACCAAAATCAGGTCAACATATGCTCCAGATAGCATTATTATTATAAATTAATAATGATTCGTTATCTTCGATATTCGATATTCCACCTGCAAAATATAACAAATATCCAAAAATTGTCCTTAATAAGGCACCACAATCTCTGGTATATTGTTCTTTTCTCTTCTTTATGATATATTCAACAGACTTCTTGAAGTTATAGGATTTTCACCAGTCTCGATACCTGCGAACATAGCATACATAGCCAGTCTACCTCACGATCTCCAGACCAAAACTCCCGAATTACCTCTTAACCCTCCTCGCTTCGAACCCAACAAACATGACCTCCACTAAAACAGAGACTTTTAATTTGATAACACTCTGCGTCAAAGCAGTTCTTAATGTTCTTCTCTGCATCTTCCTCTGCCCTCTATTATCCATCTACTATCTCTACAAATGGTATGAGCGCAGATGCAGAACACAAGAAGCACGACGCGAAAACCCTGTAGCGGAAACCTCCGAATTAGACGTTCTACCCACGAGTAACGCACCTCTCTCCGCTTCCACAGCCATAACCGCGCCACTTCCTACATTGGCTGCCCTGGATCGAGTTCGCGTACACGGAATCGTATCTCATGATTCTACGGGGCGGATTTAAACCGCCCTTCCGCGACTGACGGCATTGATTCTATCGGAGTTGTCGGGTCGGTTCCTCAAGCTTGTGTGCAGAGGGATGGTCGTTTCGGTGACAGTGACCTCGATTTTGTGTTCGATCCGTCTCCCGCTTATCAAAAGGTTATGAAATAGCTTTTCTACTTAAAAGTCGGATATGAGTTTGGATTATCGAGGTGCTGTTCGTAAGGAAAAGATCCGGTCAGCTTATACCTTCATTTGGACATGGTCTTTTATCGTTGCTTTTGTTTGTAGAATGGAGGGAAGATAAAATTCGGATATAAGATTGAATTATCTCACTGTTGTTCGTCAGGAAAAGATTCGGCCAGCATACACCTTCATTTAGAAATATTCCTTAATTCGTTGCTTTTATTTGAAGAATAGAGGGAAGATGAAATTCGGATATATGATTGATTTACCGACGTGTTCGTAGCAAAGAAAAGACCCAATTAGCCTATACCTTCATTTAGAAATGTTTCTTATTCGTTGCTTTTGTTTGTAAAATAGATGGAAGATAGAAATTCAACCAAAAGAGAACCTGTGATGAGATCATAGGCTCGAATGTAACACCATAGCTATCATTTCCTACAAATTTTGATCTGACGACTACGCATCACTTCTCTTGCCATATAGCACTTTCCATACACACCGTGATTGCTTGTATAATATCTCCATGGGTAAAACCTGTACTTTCGATATGGACCATAACTGCAATGAAATGACTGACCATCCATCAATTCACAAAGCCAGTCAATTCTTAGTATTGATAAAAAAGAAACAGTTCCACCATGAGTGTCCTGATATTCATACGAATGATTGGAAATGTGTTATAAAATCCAAATAAGTAATGACTGTTCTCGTTTATGACATATAGAATGTGCCATCAATATTCATCGAATTCTCTTACCAATAATCAATCAAATGTTGTACAACATAACAACATAACGTATGACTTTTTATGTTTCATTACTTCTTTTGTTTCCTGGCAAGACTTCCCGGAACATCCTCGTACTTCCCTGTATGGATGTGCCGACCTAAAGATTCGCTACTCGGAACTCCTTCATGGGACCCGGAATGTGACACAATTTTTGATTGGCCTCACAATATCTGTTCACTGAAATTTGGAAACTACCCATCTTATTGTTGCTTATTTCGAGCCTTCTCCAACCCTAATGGGGTCCCGTGAGGTTACATGATCAATATGGCAATATTCTCTCATACACGATTCTTGATCCTCGGTGTTCGTGTGGCTTAATGGTGGCCTTGCACTATGCCATTCCTTATAAGTCGGGTCGCTCAAAAAAGCAGCGTATCTTGATGCTTTGGAAGATTGTCCCAGAGCCTCGCTTGAACCTCTTTTTCTCGATTTTTCAATCTTTTGATCATCATCGACATGCCTTCTCACTAGATTATGGTAGTCCGTTGTATTAAAACCTTATATGATTCCTGACCACCATGCCCTTATGCGCAAACTGTAAAAGCTTTCGTACTTGGATTACTTCGAGGGAGGTAATACAAGCTTCAAAGCCGGACAGTCAGTCAAACCAACCCTTCTTCTGGCCATATTTGCGTCATCATAGAGACGTAACCAGCCTCAAAGTTTCCGCTTCCAATAGTTGTCAACTATGCCAGATGCTATTGAAGTTCCTGAATGGCGACCATTATCTTAACTTCGACTCCTGGCGTAAATATTCAGACGACACTCCTCTTCACTATCTGAACTATGAATTCAAGCTTATTCTTGGTCAGAGGGGGATGGTAATGTACGGGGGCCTCTATCTACAGCTTTATGTGCAAGGGGACAAGCACCAAATTTGTCCTTCGAGATGTCACCAAGCTCTGGATCCATTGGCACCAAGCTCGGTCGAGATGGCCACAAAATGGCTGAGAAAATGTACGGAAAGTCATGATGAATGCCGCGTTCGTTCCAATCCGGCTTTCCTTCCATCGAGACTCATCGATGTCGGGCACAGCGATCAAAGTGGTGATTATAGCGTGCTACGTCTTGTAGAGACGCGTGAACCTTTGGGCAGTCTTGAATCGGAGATTGAAAACGAGTGGCAGTACGTAACTTTAAGTCACTGCTGGGGCAAATCAACACACTTGTCAACCACAATTGACACACTGAATGAAATGAAAAATGCAATTCCATTCGGAAGTCTGAACAAGACATATGCAGATGCGGTCCGCGTTACTCGAGAGCTAGAGATGCGATATTTATGGATTGATTCGCTTTGCATTATTCAAGACTCTGATGAGGATTGGAATAAAGAGGTGTCCAGAATGTGCTTTGTGTAGAATAATGCTACGTTCAACATCGCTGCCGCAGCTGCGATTGATGGAGATAGTGGTTTCCTGACGGAGCGATTTGCTGTAAAACTTAGTCATGTGCTTCGTCCAGATAAAGAGACCGTAGCAAGAACCTTGTGGATTCGACCATGTATTCGGAATAGTCGCACGAGGCGGGAAGACGAAAATGTCTTGCCATGTCCACTTTTTGACAGGGCTTGGGTACTTCAAGAAAGTATTCTTGCGGCTCGAACGCTGGCATTCTCTCCCGTTAACATGCAATTTCTATGTCGCATGAGCCAAAAATCAGACGAAAATTCATCGAATGATGCAGAGGATCGTGGTGTCTTTGTTGGTACTGAGCACACTCCCTTCTCCTACCTAGCGCTGCAGAAGAAATTGCCACAATTTTATTTTCCACGAGCAATGGATGCCTGTACCAGTTACTGGGAACGTATTCGACAAAGAAGATATTGTACGGGAAGGATAAGCTCCCGGCAGTGGCAGGATTAGCTTATCACCTGGGATCAATCACGGGAGATGAATATCTTGCGGGCCTTTGGGGGCGCAATTTTCCGCAGGCTTTGTGCTGGCTTCCTCAAAGAAGTAGTTGTACATGTATACGTCGTTGTAAGATGCCTGCTGACGACTCTATATACAACGCCCCTTCATGGTCTTGGGCATCGCGATCAACCTCCTTTGGCTATTCTCCAGTGGCGTTCACAGGTACTGAACCACTTACTCAAAATCTACTGTCCAGTTATTACCCTCGTCCAGGTTTCGAGCCTGTAAAGATTCTCTGGGACGCAACGTTGATAGATGCTGATATTGCCTTCGTATCGGATCGTTATGGTCCAGTAAAAGGCGGATCCATTACTATGAAAGCTCATCTTCTCAAGATCGACATAGTTGATTGCTTCGTAGGCCAGAGTCAAGAAAATGTCGCAGTCTGTAACGGGCGAGAATGGGGAACGTTCTACGCCGATTGCACTTTGGACATAAGGATGAAATACTGGGCGCTTCTCTTGGGATATGAGGGCTCAAGAGAGATGGTGACAATTTGGAGATCGACACAGGCACTTGGTGCGGCATCGAAGCGAAGCGAAAGGAAGATCTGCTTAGGGTTGATCTTGATGGAAACCAGGGATGATATATTTGAACGTGTGGCATATTTCGAAAGGTTCGACGCAATATGGCCATCTGAAACCAGAGAAGTCATCATCCAATAATCTGCGCAGTTTGATACAACGTAAGACTTTTACTATATTAAAGCTACATGTCAGGAATGTTGATTAGATTGCCAACCTCGAGCACCTGACCTCAACGAATGAATAACGGAATTTTGACAGTCTATTATTGGTATTGCTGAGCAGTTTAGCCTTTTATCGTTGTGAATAATGGTATTAAGACTTCTACTTCCCAACATTCGTGAATCTCAAATAAGGCTTCACCTCTCTGACCTCTCCAAACTTCTTCCTCACATCCTCTGTCTTTACCGTCGGTGGTACAATGACATCGTCTCCCACCTGCCAATCAATGGGCGTGGCAATTCCCTTCTTATCGGCCGTTTGCAAACTATCAATGACTCTTAACACTTCTCTAGTATTTCGTCCGCAGCTCGCTGGATACATCATCGTAAGTCTGATCTTCCTGGCAGGATCGATAATGAAGACGGAACGAATAGTGAATGCAATGCCCTTTTGATCAATATTTGTTGTGTCTTGAGCATCAAGCATGTCGTAGAGATAAGCTACTTTGCGGTCCGCATCGGCGATGATGGGGAATTGTAGGGTTGTTCCGGAGACTTCGTTGATATCCTTGATCCATTCTTTGTGGGATGGGAGGGGATCTGCGGACTTTCGGGATAAGTTGAGACGTTAGTATGCAATGTGACCAAGGAGTTTTCAAGCAGGATCACAATATGGTAACATACCAAGCCAATCATATTGACACCACGTTTCTCAAATTCATCCTTCAATTTCGCAAAGGCACCAAGCTCAGTCGTGCATACCGGAGTGAAGTCGGCAGGGTGGGAAAACAGGATTGTCCATTTGTTATTAATGAACTTGTGGAAATCGATAGGACCTTGGGTTGTTTCGGCTTGGAAGTTGGGTGCTGTATAGGGATGAGGTTAGCTTTTGTCGGAATGATTCATGTAATGAGCACCCTAAGCTGAAGATCAAAGGTATCTATGTACCTTCGGAACCCAATCTCAATCGTGGTTGTTCAGGTAAAGAAGTTGTAGCAAGAAATCGTCTTGTTAGAGGGGTGACAGCTGGAGCTCTGAAAGCTTTTGACACTGGAGATGCGCGGGGTAAAGCACGCAGAGTTCGGGGAACGCTACGAGTAAATATAGTTGCCATTGTGAGTAACTTGTATAAGAAAACTACCAGTACACGTTTGACCGAATTGAAACTTTTGATGTGTTTTTCAATTGATAAGATCAAATAAGCTCCAGTAACTTTTATGAAGCGGTGATCACCAATCAAACTGTCAGGGGTAGCGAGGCTGATATGCAAGGCTAGATTGTGAAATGTGGGGTTAAGGTTAAGGTTCCGATAAACATCTCAAATTCCCTTTAACTTATGGAACTTGGAATTATACTCTCTCTCAAGTGGTCGAGTTGTGTATCCATTGGGATTTGCGTTCCATGGTTGTCTTATAGGCACTTGGTTGAGATTCATCCTAGTGCTTCCTGTGGGTGTCTTTTCGGATTAGTAAGATTATACCGCTTCATTCTCTACCGTGTATTCGCATTGTCACTTATGGTAGATTGCATGGGTTAGTCACAACAATACCTCCAACGTGTCATGGGCGTTTTCTACTGCGCATGTGTATAGTAGTACAGCTCAAAAGTCTTTGTTATTAATCAAGCTTAGTGGCTGTTGCTGTAAGGGGTGATCACAGTAGCGAGCCGACTTTCTTATTTCGAACAAGTCTAGGACCAGTTCCCTATTTCTCCACATTGCTTGAAACTAGGTGACTTAATCCACAAGAATTTGGTAAACTTCCGACTCTTGGGCGCCCGCAGATAATCCTTCAGTTCTGTTTGACCCATTGTGATAATACGCGGCTGTCCTTCTAGAAATTTTCTATGCCAAAGTAATCCAATTTCATCCATGCAGGTCAACAAGCTTGTTGACCTCAAGAGTAGAGAGGCATTTGACCTTCTTCTGGTGTATGGTGGAATCGTCAAACCTCTTTTTAGATCGACGTTTTTCATTTCCCATCCCCTAGCTTTTGACGCATGGAAGGTCGTCGTGGAAAGTAAATCAGGCTTGGCGAAAAGATGACAGCTTCCAACACATTCAAAAGAAATATATAGGCCACTGTATATTTCGATGAAAATACCTCTTGATATCAGATCGACAATCTGAAGATGTGGCGGTGTTCAGGGACGAGATGGGACTGCTCTACATCCTGGTTAAACACCTTTCAATATATAAGTTTAGCAAATCCCAAAAAGAGATTATATATTAGGAAATGTATTGTTGTTGCAGTAAATCCAGCTAGCGAACGTCTATGATCGCTCTTGGTCTCATGGGTGACTAAAGTAAGCTCTAAACATCCACGTTCAATTGTCTTCCTTGGTCTTCAGCATTGATCTAATCAGCTCTTGTCGGAAAGCTTGTTGTCGCAGCACATGCCTTGCATGCAGCTATCGCTCATCCTGGACAAACCCTTCAAGAGCTACAGGGTGAAAACGTTGAGCGTGACATATCCTCGACGACACAAACATGCTTCGCGATCTCAGCCATTGTGTACATGTTATTCGAGAGCATGTAGCATAAATAACACAGCAGGGAGCGTCTTGCTGTTGTTTATGCTCAAGCTCCCGCTGACTTGGGACTGCCAAAAAATAGATTCTGCAGTATTTTCTGGGGTACAGCCTAACCAGACACACAGAGAAGACGGCAATTCAAACTCAAGCGACATGCACTCTTGGCGTCTCACACATCTCTTGTCTCAGTGATATTGTACAGCAATTCATCTCATATCTCCCTTGAGGGTGGCATGATCCTCTCTATGAGTAGTATTGCTCGAGTATATCTAGTCATTCTTTATTGTTCGTGTGAATATCGTTAGGTTGTTGCGACACTCGTTTAGTTACTTTATCTTCTATGGGAACGACGGATTTCATTTCCTGCAGACGAGCCTTGAAACGGAAACACCATTATTTGATGCCAAACTTAGTTTCACCGTTTTGCAATGGAATGAAGTCAAGAAGCTTGGTCACTTTGATTTATTTCTTGGTGTTAACTAATTATTACCTACAAATACTTCATTCCATCACACATGCCAAAGCGATATGTTTTGGGCACATCTATAACTCGTGATAGCATCGTTTTAATTTGTGCAATCTGTGTTCATCTCTACTCTCTCGTGTCTCCATTAACCTGTCCCTATCAAGTGTTCTTACCAAACCGAGGAAGTTAGGACACTCTCTCCACTATTTTCGTCCCTATCCGTAAATACATCCTTGCCCGTACTCATACTCAAAAAATACACTGCCTCATCAATGACATAGTCTGACTCCGTCAACATCGCCTCCAAATCCCACAATTCCATTCTCAGTATTCCCATATTCTTACTGCCAGATGTCAAATCTTCCCACATCTTATCCCACGAGCAATCAGTCTGAACCTCAGCTGGAGACATGGGAAATGCGTTCAAACCAACGAAAACTTTCTGATCTGCTGACTCACGGGATACTTGGACGGCATGCGAAAGGCGCCACACTTCCTGGATACCCTGAAGCGCATGGTTGATTCTGGTCGCGTAATCGGCGACGGAGGCGAGTTGCGTGAATCTATCAACGCTCGTGGGACTTGAACTAGTGAGAATAGATGGAGTATTATTCTCAGCCTCTGCACCAACCACGATCTTTGGTGTTTCCTCGAGTGACAACATGGAATCACTACCCACTGAACCCAATGCTTCTCCTTCATTCCGCATAACTCTCGACTTCTCGACTCCCAGATCTTCTTTCCTCTCGTCCAAGATTTTCTTCCAGCAGTTATCACAGATAAATTCAACGTCTAGTTTGAGATCAAGCTCCTTCGTCACTGATAAGGCAATAGTCTTGTAGTCTTCCGGTTCCAATGGTGTACCGTTCTTCTCTTCGGTAATCGTATATTCGTGCAGGTATATTTGGAATCGAGTGTCGTGTTTGTCTGATTTGAGGTCGGAGTAAAACTTGTCTTCTAGGTTGGAGATCCAGTCGTAACACTCGGGTGAGGGTTTTTTGGAGGGGTGGGACATTGTGGATGGATGGAGAGAGTAGGTAGGGGGTTGTGGATAGAGATTAAGAATAAGAAATGAAGAGAGATGGAAATATCGGTCTGTTATACTGGAGGTTTCAAATCTCTTGGAAAGTTCCAGGTTTCTCTGTAAGTAAGTTTGTTCCATTAGATGTCGGGTGCCTATTGCATCAATGCGGTTTTTCTTCCTTCACTTGTATTAAACGAGGCTAATTTCTTGTTCGTTCGCTTAGGGCTTGAATCAATATATGCGAAAAGTGACGTCGTAATGTTGCTCACTGATCCATATATCTTTGTGTTGCGAGTTTAAAATTCTGTGGTGCCAATACATTGACAACGAGTGTGCGTCTTGCTCATCATAGTGATGAAACATACATGATTTCATGCATAAAATTAAAACACGGAATGGGAGGAAGGAGTTTTTACTAAATAAAATACTTCGCGTGAGTTCCAGAGGAGAATATACAGCTGTTAGTGAGGCACCAGATAGCCCAAATCCTTGTGGTAAAAGTAGTTTCAAGTTGTTGCTAGCGATCACTCCAATATTCGTTATAGTGTTCATTCTTATTCAAACGAAGTAGCAATGTAGTAGCTAAGCCTCCAATGACTAAAATAGTGAGGTATCTAGATTATTGTTCTAGAAATATAGATTCTATAATTAACATAATCATGACAATTCATCATCAGCAGGAACATGAAGAATAGCAAGAAAAAGCTACTGTATGAAAAGAGTTAATAGCAATCTAGCAGCCTAATTCCCCAAAAGAAAAAACAATTCCCTTCTGCACAACGGCTCCACATTAGCCAAATTTTCAACAACTAATCTCAACGTGATCTTGAGGCTGGACGGGGGTCATCGGCTCGCTGCAACTCTTGAAACCTTATGGTTTCCAGATATCTTGAATCTCACTGAATAACTGAATCCTGCGCAGATATCTCGTTGCACCCATCGATTTTGCAGTAATTCGTCACAATGACACACCAAGAGAGATTCTTGTTTTAAATCATTATTTGGATAGCCAAGTTGAGTGCTGGCTGGTGTTTCACTAATTCAGAGCTCTGGATTTGACTTGGATTTCTTGACACCAGCTTATTAGGCTTTGCTGTCGGTCCTCATTTAGTATGAAGTTCAGCGAAACCATTTTTTCAGCAGTATTCCACAGTTCTAACGAATTTCGTCTCGAAGGTTCTTTATGCACTAGTCTTTAATTCTCCCATTGAAGGCCTGCATGATCATATGCCCATCGATACTCGTCCTCAAACTTCATCGATTTGCTGTTTAACACCGACATACCTAGAAGTTTTACGATTCCACGTTTGTAAATTGATGATTCTCGGTGCCAGTAGCATGTTTCACACTTATAAACGCTTTCGATTATATACTTTCTCATGCACACTGGAAGCGGAACCTTACCATGGATGTACAACTTCCAACAGGAAAACTCTGTTGAAATTCATCATTAAATGTGTTTGTAGAGGCGAGATTCAAAACTAGCGCTGAGATAGATAGAGTAAGATATTGTCATTGTAGATCGAGGATACCATGACTTTCTTGATGGTCACTGGTAGGAGGAACGGAATGAGAGACTCAAAAAGTACCAATGAGCCAGTCTTGCGGGCTTTTCAATAGAAACGGACTATGAACTTTAATCCCGATTTGTAATTTAATGTCTGCAGCAATACTTATAGTGCAATGATAGGAAAACCGTAGAATAAAATTGAGATAGTAGTGATATCAGAACGCATGCTTCGATAAGCCTTAAGCTCAGCATTGAATATGAACCAGTATCAATAGGATTTACTGGGGGTCGGTGTTAACAGTGCTGTATATGCAAGTCACCACTAGGTAGTCACAGTCCCCCCTAAATGGCCCGACACAAAGCATTGCAACTCCAAGCGATCAAAAAAACACACTTCTCCACGAAGCACCAATACCAATGCCGAACCGATTTAATACAATACAGCCACCCCAAAGATCCATAGAACATAATCTTCAAAATATCGTTTGTTGAAGTAACCTTACAGTGTACTAATACGAGAAGGATTGTGGCTATGCCCCCACATACCCACACCCCAAGCATAAGCACCCGCATACAAAGTACAGTAAATACCATGCTAGCCAACCCTAACCCCACAGCCACAAAACTGCGCCTACCTTGACCCTACGAATCATTTGCTGTTACTGTAGAGTAGATACTGAGTACATCGCTAAAGCTTGAAGATTATAGATCACTGAGTATAGATAATGAAACATAATCTTTCCACTTGGGAATTATTCAATGATGAATTCTTCTCGAAATCTCATCTCGAGACTTGCAGGTTCAAGGCGTGTCGAGTTTCGTTGAGTTTAGTTGAGTTTAGTTGAGCTGAACATGAGCCATCCAACCCAAAACAGAATATCTGTAGGACCGCCACCGAGACGCAAACAGTACAACATATTATTCTTAGGAAATGCTGGGGCGGGAAAAGCTAGTATAAAGAATCGAGTGAGTTTTGTTCACCGGTATGGAGTTTCAATTGGCAAAGGAGGGTATCGTTGACGGATACAAATTAGATCATCTACAATGAATTCCTTCGACCCAACAGTTTCGACCCGTTCGAAGACGACGGTGATCTCAAAATCATCACGGTGGATTCCGAACAGTGTATCGTGAAGATTGTGGAGCTCAATTACAATAAACAACATCCGGCGATCCGTGAAATGTCTATTCGACAAGCAGATGGTGTTATACTGATGTATTCCATTTGTTCACCCTCGTCTTTCTCCGTGCTAGAATCGCTCTGGACTTCTGTGAAACTGGTGAAAATTCCGGAGAAAAAGGGGTTATATGTTGACATAGTGGGAACTATGAGTGACCTGTGGGAGAAGCGGACAGTCATGACTGAAGATGGCAAATTAGTGGCTGAGAGATTGAATTGTGGGTTCTCAGAGTGTTCAGCGAAGGAGGGAGAGAATTGTGAGGGGTTGATTGAGGATTTGGTTAGGAAGATTGGGGTGGGGAGGGAGCAGGAGAGGTTATTGAGGGATGCAAAGCGTAGGAAAGAAGATGATGAGAGGGAAGAGAGGGATAAGAAGAAGAATGGAGTGGTGAAGAGAGTTGTGAAGAGATGTGTGGTATGGTTTTCTCGTCGCGTGTGAGCTTCATCGGGGAGTTTGCTGACGGACGGTGTAGGAAATAATGACGATGGGAACTTGAGTCGAGAACACTAGGATACCCCAATATTGAATGATGGAACAGATAATGATTAACTATGTACATATGTAAATGCCGATAGTACGAGAAAATTTGATTTCATATTACTAAGTTGTATTGCTGCCAACCTTGTATAACAAGATGCTGCTAGAATTGAAGATCTTAGCGGATCGAGTAGCTGCAAGATCCGAAGCAAAATTGTTTCTCCTTGGAAGAGAACAATCTTTAGATACCTCTGTTTAAAGCCTCAAGACGGGCTCGAGCCGAATCAGAGTTCTCGGCACCTCTTCGCAACAAAAGGTCACGAAGTTGTCGTATTACCAGTTCGACACATCCTCCCATCATCCGCTATACTCCACGCCTCGCTCCCCACAGCAGTGGTCCCATAAAACAAATGATCCGGATCCCACTTATTTTTTATCCTCAAAAGCCTATCATAGTTCTTCCCATAAAAGGTTTCCTGCCAATTCGGTTGTCTGAAATTACCTTCATTCATATATCCTCCGCCTCCTGGCGTGAGTGCTTCGAATTGCGGTATTATATCATTCGCCATCCAGTATTGCTCAGCGACCATATCGGATATTGGTGCGGAATAGTCCCATGGTGTGGTCAAAATTACATGGATAAGTGCCTCTCGCCATGCTGGGAGTAGTGCATTGTCGACTGTGGGTGTAGTGTGGGGAGATGAGACGTTGATGGCTACACCTGTATAAGGTAGACCAGTGCTTGTAACGTTTCGGATGGTCGCGACGTAGGCTTTGTTGTTCTCCTGGATAACACTTCTGGGTATTAATCGGCCGCCGCCAGTATTAACTCCCGACCCACCCCAAGCACCATAGGGGAGAGGCCCACGAGTGTAGTTATAATGGTCAAGATATGTTGGGTTCTCAATGTATGCGGCTGTATAACTGATGCCCAGAGTCGTGAGTGCGTTGGTGAAGTTGCTCAATAAAGCTTGAACATCAGCTTGAGTCTTATTATATGCCGTCATACCAAGTATACCAAAAGCTGTAGAGGTAACACCATAGCCAACCATAGTGCCTGCGTCGACGATGGCAGGAAGATTAGAATGAAAAGCTTCGACTCCAGCCCAGAACGTTTCGTTGGTCGTGTTGCCAGTGGTTGCCGAAAATGCCAGAGTTGCACCGCTGACAACTGCGTCAGGATATACTTTCACGGTAAGAGATACGACGACCCCATACGTACCCCCACCACCCCCACTCAAAGCCCAATATAGATCCGTGTTTTCGGTTGGTGAAGCAGTGACTAGCTCTCCACTGGCCGTCACAACTTCCCAGGATATGGCTTGATCAGCACCCATTCCAAAGTTGCTAGAAAGAGCTGAGTGACCACCCCCTTGAGTGTAGCCTCCGGCAATCCCAACCGTAGGACATTCACCACCTACTGTCACAAAGCCTGCCGCATGCGCAGCTTCGAGAGCATCGAATCCTTGGATGCCAGCACCAATTTTCATGGCTTTTCCAGTGTAAAAGCCAGATGACCAATCAGAAAATGAGATGTTCTTTAGGTGATGGGTCCAGACTGCTAATGCTCCTACACCAGTTGACTTGCCCAGATAACTTGTAAATATTTAGCGAAGTTTCAATTTCAAAGTTACAATGGGATACATACTCATGTCCAGTATTTCGGATTACAAATCGAACATTATGACTCTTTGCGAACTTAATAGCAGCAATGATGTCGTCAGATTTCGATACGTCAACAGCATAATCAACGTAGTTTCCCAAGGGACAGGGGCTCGATTCAGGAGAAAAAGGATGGCAGCTTTGATTTCCAAGTACGGCAAAGTATGGTGCTATTAATGAAGAAGATGAATTGAAACTTAATTGACATTAGTCTCATCAAATTACCATGACCAAATCGGGAATAACTCACTGAAGACTGGGATTGGCCCAATTCGCTTGCAAATATGCGCACTCGGTTGCATCGTAGTTGGGATCATGACATGGGCTCGCGATTGGTACTGTGGCTACCAATCTACCATCGACCGTATTGTTGAGTTTATTCCACTCTGTTGTAGATGGCCAGAGGGAGTCCCCAGGTAGAGCTCTGCAACTGTAATTATTAACAGTCTGTGCAGATGCTGTGCATAGCAATTGAATTAGGAAAAGGACAAATGTATAAGATGTCATTTTCTGCATCATGCTCATCTTGAGGATTCTCGAGGACATAAGGTTGAAGGAAAAGGAACCAAGAAGTAAAGTCGAGAATAAATGTTCCTACCGTACTTATACATCATCTTTAAGACGAAGTTACATTCAGCTGACTGCAGGTACTAGTACCAAGGAGGAAATAATCGATGTGGTTGAACATTGTGCCGTCTTCCATGGTCCCCGACCAATAGAATCTTTGGCTTATATTGCGATGTGCACAACTAGCTTTGATATTTGTGCTCATGAATCAAAAGTGTTATTTGAAGATTCAAATTCGTTGATTACTCACAACTGAATATGATGTTTAACTCATTTGTAAAGTCCGAAAGAATTGAGGTTGTCAAAGAGTTATCTGTTCGAATAAAAACGCACGTTTTGTTTAAAGCTAGTCGTGCACATCGTATTATGGGGCCGATGCATGATAGGATCTGCCAATTATAGTTGGCCATTTTCGAATATTTTAGAACAAAGTCCAAAATTTCGAGGGAATGAAACTGTCAATATCAAGACTTCTATCAGGAACAGATTCCTACTGTATACATGCTCCCCTTCAATGTCTCCTTCGCGAGACGCTTAAACGAACTATCCTTTCGCTACAAAGTAACCCAGTTCATTTATTACGAAAGTATAGATGCCTATGCTATCCCGATCTCGTGAGTCGATTTATATACATCATGCATTGTCGATCCATCTACCGGTAGTTTGATTGTTCCTAGAATACAACGTGTTGAGGCCCAAGTGCAAAACGAGTCATGTTAAACTATCCATGAATCTGATAAGCTACGAGCCTAAGATCGACACTTCAAACAGGGTATTGAAGTGCCGAACTCTAGATGGAAAAGATTTAGTTTCCACGTGTGAACCATGCTTAGATCCTTGTAACTGGGTTGTAAGATTCCTGTCATTGCGATTGTTCCATGAAGTGAAATGTTGAAAATGCCAACCCTTGTGCAGCTTCCTAGTCAAAATTATGTTAACAGGAACAACTGATGGAAATCCAAAAGTTCAACACCAGAATTTCTGGTATCGAATTCAATATGGCAATTGTCACAGGAAAGACTCACTCGAGTCTTACCATCACTATCTTTATTCGCCAGACAGTAAATGATCGAATTTCTCTCTTAATTGATGCTGACTCTCCTACTGAGTCAATTGATTAACAAGAATAGGTCTAGACGAGAATTAGCCAATCACAAACCATGTGGAAACCCCTCTGGTTTCAAATAACTCTTTACACAAACATCAGGCCATGAAATCAGATAGCTGTTGAAGATTCATCCATATAACCGGGTTCTAGACCCGAGAGAGTTCTGCTTGACGGTACGGGTAATGTTAAATACGGGCCATGTACTTCCGTAGACAAACCAGACAGAGTCCTAGGCAAAGCTTCAAATTGAGTTTTACCCCGGATTGCATGTTAACGAGCTACGACCGGGGGGGGGGGGGCATGTAGCTACCCCGCATTTCTAATTGAGCCAAAATCTCCTACACGCGAAAGTAACCCTGTCGACTATTATCATTCTGTGAATTTTGAGAATGACTATATGATCTTTACGATTCCGGGTGTGACTTAGAGGCAGAGATTGGTCGTTCCGTTTCCTTCTAGGCGGTCTTGATTTCGGTACATTCAGTTGGTATCACTGGCGTCGTAAGAATTTGGATAATGAAGCTTAATTGTACGAGTAGATAGATGTAAAACTGTACTTAAATCATCAAGCCCCCCTCCATAAAGGTATAATGTAAATATTCAATAGTTCAAAGATTGGCTCCCAAGCAGGGAATCGATTTTCACCATGTCCGCCGACGATCAAGTGGGTGTTGAGACACATCGAGAACGAGAAGGTCGACAGATAAAGCTGACGATCGAGTGTAGCAGGACGAGAAGAATGTAACTCATGTTAAGGTAGTCAAAGGTAACGAGGCCTTTGCTCAAGCGGTCTTGAAGGAGCCACCGAAGACATGGTCAAGACGATCCTTTGTACTATACGCATGCGCTTTAGTAGCTTTTCTTTTGCAATACCTGCAACATATTCGATGGCTCCATGTTCAACTCCCTTCTTGCGATGGACCAATTTAAAGATTATTTCAGCGTGGCAAATAATGGTGCTTGGACCGGCATCGTTACGTCCATGTATTCCATAGGTAGTGTTGTCGCAATCCCTTTTATTGGACCGGCAATTGACACTTGGGGACGAAAGGTCGGAATTTATATTCGGGCAACGTCGATTGTGCTGGGGACAATAATCCAATCCACCACTCTAGTAACGTGATCGGTCAATTTATGGGTGGCATATTCTTGCTTGGATTTGGGGTGGGAATAGTTGCATCAGCGGGACCCATGTGCCTAACGGCAAAACCTTCATACCATGGTAAAAGACTCTGATGGCTAACAAACCACAAGGTACGTTGTTGAAACATCGCATCCTGCCCATCGAGGTGTTGTCACTGCTGTAGGTTAAAGAGATTTTCCGAAGCAAAGATTCTAGCTCACTAGTTTTGTAGTTCTATAATACATTTTGATTATTTATCCCACGATAAGGTTATCATTAATAGTCCCCGAGGCTGCGATACAGCACTGTATCCAGAACATAATGGGGAAGCCTATTCTCTAACTTGCTTCAAGGTTCGTTGGTTCAATTCTTGCTTCCGGATCGGCACGAGGAAGTGCAAATCTGGTTGAAAATCGGGCCTGGCAAGTCCTAGTTTCGCTTTAGATGGCATTTCCTGGACTTTGCATTGTGCTGGTTTGGAGTCTCCCGGAGAGTCCACGTTGGCAATACATACATGGGCAACGAGATAAAGCCGAAGGCGATGCTTACATGGTATCATGGCAAAGGGAATCCGGATAGTGTTTGGGTTGAAATGCAACTTCGAGAATATGAGGAGTATTTAGAGATGGATGGTGCCGATAAACGATGGTGGGATTATAGTGCGCTGTTCAAAGACAGAGCATCAAGGTATCGTTTGGCTTGAAACTGCACCATTGCTATATTTGGACAGTGGGCTGGCAATGGTACCGCGACTACTCCATTTCGTCAATGTAACATACTGACTGAATGTTAAGGCCCAATTTCGTACTTCATTTCTGCTGTTCTCGATACGGCAGGAATTACGGATTCCATAACACAACTCAATCTCAACCTAGTTCTCAACGTTATGCAGTTTGCGCTTGCTCTATCCGGTGCTTCTCTCGTTGATAAAGTTGGCCGTCATCCATTGCTTCTATTCGCAAACATTGGATGCGCCATAGTATGGATCGGGGCCACGATTTCATCATCCATCAATACCAGTACAAGTAGCAAAAGCAGTGGCTCTGCGGTTTTAGCCATGATATTCCTCTTCGATGCCATCTTCAGCATAGATTTCACACCATTGCAAGCATTGTACCCCGTTGAAGTCCTGAGTTTTGAGATGAGGGCCAAGGGAATGGCATTCAGCAACTCTGCTGTATCAGCAGGTACGTTGTCTCTACCTTACTATCCTACCCTCTCTCGGAAGAACTAACAACTAGTGGTTGCAACCCTTGTGAACCAGTTCGCATATCCTGTAGCCCTGGAGAAGATCAAATGGAAGACTTATCTTCTCTTTATGTTTTGGCGTCCAATCCAAGCTCTTGTGATTTACTTCTTCATTCCAGAGATGAAGAACCCGTACTGTAAGTTGACCTCAAAACTCTGGTGAACAATCAAATAGAGCATGTCTAATCCTAGAACTTCAGCTCGAAGAATTGGATGTCATCTTCCGTGCCAAAAACCCAAGGAAAGCATCTCTCGAGAAGAAACAGTTGGCCCTGGACAATAACGTGAACATTGTCAAAGTGGAAGAAGTGAGTTGAGAGGGCAGCTAAAATATACTAATCCAGCAGTGGTGATGTATTTCTAGATGCTAGTTACTAGAAGACATCCTGATAGTATATTTTCAAAGTATCGTTCGTAGTTTATAGATTAGAAGATGAATAAGAGTTGTCAATTCCGTGCATATCTCTTGCAAATATGTTTTTTGGGGGGTTGTTTGTGAATGATTCTTGATTTTACAAGTACAGGGCCCTTAGCGCCATGTTTTAGCGCCAAATACGTCGCAATCGGCTCTTGTAGCATTGTATAGAATTAATACAACCTGAACAAAACACCACAAAACAAAACACGACGATAATTTCTATTCGAGCTCTCATTTGACTGTTGAGTGGACATATATTTCAAACTCGCATCTTCTCGTCTGCAAATTCGGGCAGAAGCTAGCCTAGCTATCGCAGGAACTTCTCCACTGCAGCAATGCTCTCAGGACGCACAACACAGCATTGAAAACGAAAACTTCCCCTCCATCACGTTCGAGAAACCTGCGAGCAGCTTGGGACGCTGCAATACATACTTGACGTGTTTGATAAACAATGGCGAGTCTGTGAGGGCCTGAAAATAGTTCATTACCACGTTATGAATGTATTTGTCCAGGGACGACCCATTCTATAAGTAGATGCAGAAGGCTATTTGGTGAAATGGACCAAAAGAGATGCTAAAGAATAAATTCTCTGCATCAGATGTGTTAGTATACACTGGAAGGTGGACTCTCCTCTTGTATTGCAGTCTTGTTTCGTGCTTTATATCTTCCATTGATAGCATTGACATACAATAGCTAGTGCTCCGTCAAAGATCGAGTTTGCTATTTTTGCAAGTCTGATGTACCCTCGAGTCAGTTAACTTACTAATCTATCTTCAAATCCGATGTCCTGTGGTTGCGTTGTGGTGAGGGATGTGATTTGCAGCAACCCGCTCGATATCTTCACAGACACTCCAGGTAGACTGTGGTCGAATAAAATTTGGCGTTTAGAATTACCGATACCGATCTGTAGCTAGATGCAAGTGCCATGAACTGCTGGCAGTTCAAGGAATTGCCAATCTTCATGCCGAGAGTCTTTGTCATGGAAATGTCGGGCGTCTCTCATCTCCTTATGGGAGCATTTTATCTGATGACAGCCATGAAGCCATGATATTTATTCCACCTTCCCATCTTAGCTATTCTTTACAGCCGGAGAACTAGCTTCTAGGATAGGGGCATTAGTGAAGGTATATATGGCGTTTATGCTGCTGATTTCACTATCGTAGTCCGGTAATCGATGTGGTTAAAAAGTCTTCTAGTGTAGAAGCCAGGTGTAGAAGCGCTGGACATTTCCGAGAAAGGTCAATGGGAAGGCCATTTCATGATTGCATCTTACCTGAGGTCCCTTTGGGCCAACCAGCCAATTTAGGACTCAGGCACCCCTCAAGGTATCACCGTGTCCGCTATCAAGTCCGCATCCAGGACAAATGAAAGGTCTAGGTTACCGTGGATACCTTCGTGGAGGCAGCGAATGTCGAGATTTAGATATAGTTGGCTTTGGCAGTTCAGGTAACACTTTGACTTCTGTCCTGCATCGCCTATATATACTGACTTTCCCTTGCTAACAGTCCAACAATCATCACAAAGCACCAGCAGACGATTAGTACAAGCTAAACATTCAAAATCAGCCCTTTAAAAATCCACAATCGATTCATCACCACTTAAAGCTACATCACATCATACCATAATACACCATGCCAGAATATGCATCGACATCCTCAAACCCAGCTGACGAAGCCAAACTTTGGGTCTATCACTCAAGAAGTCATTTCACCAACGCCATGCATGGCAGATAAGACCTAGACAAGGCAGCTTCCAAGAACACGTCTATCTACAATCCAAAGTTTCTTCAGGATTCAATCTGCAACTTCGTCTACTATGACAATAAAAAAGTCCAAATACGACAATATGGCTATATTGAGGAGAAACCCCAATCCCTCCAATAAAGGCAAATCGCAGTTCTTTAAATGGAATACTAAATCAAAAGACTGGCACATGACTAACTGTGATGGCACCGTATCGTTATCTTCGGTGATGTCGAGTCAAAAGGGGCCAGAGGATTCTTATGGAGCCACATTCAAGACGGTGGAGTATGGAAAGTCGGAGCATAAGTGGAAGGATGGGATGCGGGAGTTAGAGGTACAGACTTTCAGATGGACAGAGACGTTGAGAGTGAGAGAAGAGGAGCGAAAAGCGAAGGAGAAGAAAGAGAGGCAAGAGAGGGATAAATTGGAAAAGGCTGTGGCGGCAAAGGAAAAGAAAGAGGGGCAAGAGAGGAAAGAATCGGAAAAGGCTGTGGCGAAAAAGGAAAGGGTTAGGCAACTGGAAAAAGCTACGAGGCAACTCAATCTGGAGGCGGCTGCTGATGCAAATGAGGGAGGGAAAGGGAAAGGTAAGAAGTCTAGCCATAATAGTGGAAGGGGGGAAGGCTCTAAGCAGCGGGCAGATAGTCCTGGGCGAGGAGGTCAGCGCCCTGGACGATAGATGGAAAGTATGAGGTGTAATGTACTCAGGGCTCATAGAGGGCTCCCTGGACTACATTAGATTGAGTGCACAGAATTCTCTATTGAATAGAACACACAGAATCTCATACGTGAGCAAAGGATAATATAAGATGAGGAGAAACAACAATCAATACCTTATGCACGTAAAGAGGCAAGAAACGCTCATTGCTGAAACCGAGGAGATGTAGTTAATCCATGTTGAGTGATCACCAGGAACGAGATATCTTCGACCACTACAAAGAGAATAAGGAACAGTTGATCCACATATCTTTTTCTACTCCATATACGAACAGATTCAAATGTGGTGACGTAACTATGAGAGTAGATCTCGAGGAAATCGTTTAATGGCTTGATTAATTTACATTTGAATCTTATTTTCAAGGACTCCCCTGATATGACACTACAAATACCTGAGTCCATACAGATATAACATGAATCTCAGTCCATTGTTATCGAAAATGTACAGAGTACATACATACATTCCCCGAAACAAATAAAATCCCCTCAGAAATACTCGAGTAATCTAAGCGACGCACTACTTGTACGCTACCGGTAGTGGTAGTTGAATTGACCAAGAACTTGGTCTGGACATCAAATCAAGGAGAAAGAATGTCAAATACAGTAATCAATCAATCAATCGTGACACAGAACATGGTTCCAACTCAAAGTAGGAAAGAAAATCGAAAATCGAAGATCGAATAATATAATATGCTGTTGCTGTTGATTGTGGTGCACGAGTATTGAAGGGTCGCACAACCGGCGAACCTTCCTTCATCAGTTGTCGTTCGCATGGATATGGATGGGTAATGCAACGGCTAGGCGATGCTTGATCAAGGATAGTATTATTTACATCGTCATCTTGACATGCACGAACTTGGTCTCTCGGACTGGTGCATTTTATGCCTTTCGGTCTTTGATACTCGAACATAAGGAAACGGAACGAAATGCAATGACTCGTGTCCGGTAGCAATTGCCGACAAATGCCTGGGACCCCGGTGTGGTTGGTGGCTGGTAAAACCATCCGCGGTCGTGGGATCGAGCCAGCCAGCTATTATTATATGCGCAGTTGTGCGAGTGAAGAGTGAGAATCTCTACAGGGAGCACACGGTGTGCTCGTGAATGTCGGAAGGGGGGGTAGAGCAATGGATTTTCGAGCTTGGGGAGTTCCTTTCCTTCCAGGAGGTGGCAAGTAAGCGTGCTAATAAGCGTATGACGCTTTTAGAGGAACTCTTGATATGCAGCAGATAGAGGCTGATCGGAGTAGAAGATGAATTGTGGTGTGAATTGTGGTGTGAAGGAATGGTATGATGGTGGGATGTAAAAATCACCATTCCCGTCACACCACTTCTGCCGTCAATACCTGGGAGGATTTGAAGCCTCACGAGTTTGATTGTGGCTTATGCGGAAGATGTAAGACCTATCTAATTGACGGTTTATGCAAATAGAAAATGTACCGGTATTAGTCGAATATCCTTCATCATTATAATCTGATCACTCACCATAGTCAATGGCTCGCTACTAGCCGTATTAGAAGCTCTAGAAGAAGAACCACCGTGACTTCAACTTCTATCTATTCATCAGAAATACACACCTATCCAAAGCAGTGCTGCATCCACAGGTAAGAGCTCCTGAGTCCTACATACCGTATATGTTTTCGAGATCATCTGGATGATCTCCGAAGGAGTATTTATTTTGATGAGAGTGGTGAATTGGGGCTCCTAATCCCCATCCTTATAACAAAAAGATGAAAAGATGGAATAAATAAGTGTGTAAACCACTGTGCCAAATTATTGGATAGGAGTATAACCTATGGTTTCCCATTATATATATACTTTAGACAACGTTGCCTAAAATGGAGATAGGTCCTCTATGACAAGATCTTATCCGGTTCGAAATACTTTCGTGGGCGCATCTTATGTGCTCTGAAGTTGATGAGGGAGTATGAAAGCGGTGTGAAATTAAGGATGATTGAGGTTGAATCTTTGTTGCATCGATGACTTAAAAGATTTTCAAGTCAAAGTTCTTCGAGAGCCTGCCGTTCGTGGTCAAGACCAATAAGTAGAAGGAAATATCTCGTATCCTATCAGAGAAACTCGAGCCTACTATATCAAATCAGCATCGCTTCCAGCCAAAAATTCAAGTTGACAAAGGAGCACCAGAAAAAAACTCACCTCGTCAAATGGTGCTGCTTTCTTTGCTCTAACACCATCAAGAATACCGACTTCCATAAGTCCTCAAAATTTCTCCAAACTACCACCAATGCGCCGTCTTCAAGACCTGCTTGGATTGTGATAGTGAATAGGGAAATCATTAATGTGTCGCGAGGTGATTGGTGCCGTTCTGCGACCAGCTTTTGTAGGGACGCGATCAAAAGAATTACAGTTTCTAGTCGCCGCTGGTCTTGCGAGAGCAGTGGGCGAAGTTTCGATGCTGTCACACAATGTCCAGCGTTTGCTCTCAAGTTCCTTGCATCAAGGAACTGAGCGGAAGCTCATGCATTAAAATAAAATCTGATATATGTGATCTGACATACATTTAGTAGTAGGAACATAGTCAAAGGGGTTGAGAGAGTGTTTAATAACGCAACATTAACGGTTCATCGACAGTGCTCTGCTTTGGATGTCAACACAGAGACAGATGTATGGATGGACAAGAAAGTTTTAAGCTCCTTGCCGGTTTTTCTGAGTTTCTTGGGTTTCCTGGATTTCTCGAGACGTGGTGTGCCAATGGTAGCAATCAAGTTCAAAGCTTTGAGTGATTTCTCGTTCGCATGACCTGCATGACATTGTCTGGACTACTTGGTATAATCAAATCAAATATTTCAAATCTGGACAAAGTTAGCAAATGCTAATGAATACCATAAAAAGTTCAAGTGCTAAACTTTACGCACCAGTTTGATTTGATACGAGTATCCATTGTTCAAAAATAGAGATATTCCATATTTTCTGCAATCGCATCTGCAAACAAGTGCAAGTCGGTGCTAGCATGCATTGTTCGAGGGCATGACAAGACAACAATAGAGGAATAAATATGGGACGCGACATCGTTAGGATCAGCCATGATAGAGGCTAACTGCTCTGGAGAATCGAGTTGGTTTCAGATCCAACAGAAACCTTGATCAAGACTAGGTAAACGCTGCGTAGAACAAGAAATCTTCCCATATATTTAGGCATCGCGTTTGTTCACTGCTCTTTCTTAAAGATTGAAATGCAATTCAGATTGTAGATTTTCTATGTGGAACTTAGAAACTTGTTATCAGTCAAGACAGTTCTCGTGAGTGGCAATGGTGAGATCAAGTATTCTTGAGGGTACATACCAAGAGAAGACAGACAGCAGATCTAATGTGACTATAGAGATAACGATGGTTGTGGAATCGTGAATACTACTGTAATGTAGGCAGTTGAGTAATCACGTCTGACAGGAGACTGGACCAAGATATATCCTACAATATCTCTCGACTACCGCTTTGTTCATTGTCTCCGTTAAAATAAGTCGCGACATAGAGTACGTAAATTACCAGGTATTAAACCATCATGGCATGCGATAACCTTATGCCAGAGACTTTTGAGCACTGCATCATAAAAGGACTTGGCCAAATAATACAAAGAGGAAAGAAAAGAAGGTAGAATGAGTATAAGATCGAGTTTAAAATTACAAGAAAGCTGAAAGAAACTTTTCAAACTGAGAGATCAAAATGTTCAATTATGGTAGTTCTATAATTCGACCTGTTCATGCCAATGCGGCAGATTCGAGGGATGGGAAACTCAAAGATTTGAATGGATGGAAAATCACATAATTGAGCTATATGGAACAATTGCTGGTTGAATAGAAGGGATACTAAGTATGAATATTATCGGTAA